TCATGCTTTCACTTTATCAAAAAAAAATATATTAAATACTTTAAAATTCAATATAATTATGAAAAAACATTACCTAACTTTACATTATCGCCACATTTCAACTTTCACAAAGCCAAAAATCATGCTTTCACTTTAGTAATCAAATCATACACAACAACATGTAAAATGACAAAATATTGAATTTTGTTGAAATATTTTTCTGAATAAGGCCAACCTAAAACTTCATGAAAGTAACAGATAATATATACTAGTGCATTAAATAAATGTTTCATTTTAGAACCAAACATTTTGCATCAAGAAAGTAAAGTAAATCCTATAATACACTTAATCTTCCATAAATAAAAAATATTGATGAACAACTCTAACGTAACTTGGCATAATTACCAGGTATCAGCCTTCTCAGAACCCATAATTAAGGAATGTAATTCAATAATAAATCCCTACAAAGCATGTATAATGAAACTTCAGGAAGATCATGTAACAACTCAGAAGGCTCCCCTAAAAAAGGTTTGACTTTTGCAAACAATCAATGCACAACAATAAAACAGATAAAATACTTCATTAATTCAAATATTTATGAAGAAACATGACCAAACTTTACATTATCACCACATTTCAGATTTTGACTAAGCCATAAATCTTGCTTCAATTATAGTGATCAATCCATACACATGTAAAAAAGCTAAATATTGAATTTTTTCAACATTTTCCTTGATGATTTCAACCTAAAACTTCATTAAAAAAACCGAAAATATGTGTTGGTCCATATATAAAAGTTTCAATTCAGCAAAGAAACATTGCATATCAAGAAAGAAAAGCAAATCATATAATACACTTAAAATCTTTTTTAAATAAAAATGTTGATGAATAAACCTAACCTAACTTGACATAATTAAAATGTTTCACCCTTCTCAGAATTCACATACACCACATGTAAGACTGAGATTTATTGCCATTAGTCAAAAATTTTTTGAAGAAGGTTAACCTAAAACTTCATGAAGATTATAAAAAAGTTCAGATAGTTCCCTAAAAAAAGGTTTCACTTGAGCAATTTGTCAAAGCCCAGCAATAAAATACAAGTACTTCCTTAATTAAATATATTTATGAAGAAACATGATGTAACTTTACATTATCACCACATTTCAGTTATCATAAAGGCATAAACCATGCTTCTTCTTTAGTGATCAATCCATGCACAAAATATAAAATCAAAAAAATATTAAATTTTATCAATATTTTTCCAAATAATGTCAACCCAAAACTTCATAAGAATATCAGTTAATGTGCACTAGTTCGTTAAATAAATGTTTCACTTTAGAAAACAAATATTGCACATTAAGAAAGTATAGCAAACTTTATAAAACAGTTAATTTTTCATAGATAAAAAACATTAACGAGTAAAACTGACTTAACGACATAATTACCTTCCATCAGCTTTCTAAAAACCCATAAATAAGGTACATACTCCTATAATGAATTTATACAAAGCATGTAAAATGAAAATTTATTGCATTTTGTCAACCTCTTTTTGAAGATGGTAAACCTACAATTTCATGAAGATCACATAAAATTTCGGATGGTGCCATGAAAAAAGGTTTGACCTTTGTAAACAGTCAATGCACAAAATAATAGATAAAATACTTCCTTAACTCAATATATTTATGAAGAACCATGACCAAACTTTACATTATCACCATATTTCAACTTTCAATTGATGAAGGTTAAGTGAAAACTTTACAATTGATGCCCTCTAAAAAGGTTTTACTTAAGAAAATGGTCAATGCACAACAACAAAATTGATTTATTACTTCATACGTGTACTATATTTATGAATAAACAAAACCTCATTTTACATTATCACCTCATTTTTACCTTTTACAAAGGCCTTTAATCAAAATTTTATGTTAGTGATTGCACCATAAACGGCAAGTGATTGTTTATTGAAATTATTCCAAAGTTTTCTGAAGTAAAGTGATTGTTTATTGAAATTATTGTATTTTAACAACTTAACAAAGAAATTCGACCTAAAAATTCATAAAAACAATATTTTATGTAGTTTTGATACATACTTATGAGTTTTAACTTCAGTAAAGAGTCATTGCATGATTAAATACTTCTTAAATCAAATATATTTATGAGTAAACCAAGATATTTTTGATTAACTAGCAAATTTAAACATTCTAAGAAACTTAAATCGGGATTTTATATAGTGATTACATCATACAGAACATATCAAGTAACATATTATTGTATTTTAACGACTTAACAATAATTTATGTCATTTTGATACATACTTGTGAGTTTTAACTTCAGTAAAGAATCATTGCACGACAACAAAGTAAAGTTAATCTAAAATTAGATTTAATTCTCCACAAATCCAAAATATTTTTGAAGAAACTTAACATAATATGACATAATCATTATATATCACCTTTCTTAAAACTTTAAATAAGTATTTTACTTCAGTTACCAATCCATACACGGCATATTAATTGACAATTTTTTAAATTTTCTCAATATCTTTCGAAAGAGAGTCAACCTACAACTTCATTAAGAAAACATAAAAGCTCAAATAGTTGCCTAAATAAAACTCTCACTTGTCGAATTGTAAATGCTCAACAATAAATATATTAAATAATTTATATATCAAATTTATTTATGAAGTAATCTAACACAATTTTACATTAGTACCATATTTAGCTTTATCACAGCCTTAAATAAGGGACCTACTTCAGTCAATGTTCCATATACACCATTTAAAATGAGAACTAATTAAATTGTTTTCAACATATTTTTGGAAAAGTAAACATAAAACTCAATAAAATAACATGTTAGGTCAGCTTGATTCCTAAAGAAAGGTTTCTTTTCAGAATTTAAGTCAATGCATAACAATAAAGTAAAGTTAATCTTAAATAAGATTTAATCCTCTTTAAATGAAAAATATTGATGAAGGAACCTAATGTAATTTAAAAGAATTATTATATATTAATTTTCTCAGAGCCTTAATAAGGTATTTGCTTTAGTTATCAAACCAAAGACAGCATGTAAAATACCAATTTATTGAATTTTCTCAATATTTTTTATAAAGATTCAAGCTAAAATTTCATTAAAAAAGAATAAAAGCTCAGATAATGGCCTAAATAAAACTCTCTTCATCAAACTATAAATGCACAACAACAAAATAGATCAAATACTTTAATACTTTATATATTCAATATATTTATGAAGAAATCTAACAGACATATTAACTTTCTCAAAGCTTTAAATAAGGCTTCTACTCCAGTGAAAAGTTCATACTCAACATGTGAAATGAGATCTTATTAAATTTTTTAACATATTTTTGAAAAAAAACAATAAACATAAAACTTCACAAAAATAAAAAATTAGGTGAACAAGATCGCTAAAGAAAGGTTTCTCTTCAGCAGTTAAGTCGATTCACAACAACAAAGTAAAGATAATATTAAATTAGATTTAATCTTCCCTGAATCCAAAATATTGTTGAAATAATAAAAAGCTTAGAAGGTGGCTTAACTAAAACTCACTTAATTAAACTATAAATGCATAGAACAAAATAAATTAAATACTTTATCCATCCAGTCTATTTATAAAAATCTAACTTTTTAATAGCCTTAAATAAGGCTTCAAGTTTATTGAACAGTCCATGCACAACATATAAAATGACAGTATATTAAATTTATTCAACATGATTATCAAAAACGACTACATAAAACTTGACAAATAAAACATATCAGCTTTTTTATTGCCTAAATAGTGCTTTCACTTTAGTATTTTGTTACAATTTCATATAGCAAAAAAAGAAATTGAGTTATCAACAACTTTTGATATCAAATCAAGATAACATAATTTACATCAAGTTCAACTCTTACAAACAATAATTGTGACATTTATGCATCCAGTTCAACTCTCAAAAACTCACAACCATTAAAAATTTCAGGAATGATCATTTCAATGCTAGACAACATAATGTGTACAAAAATGCAGCCCGGAAAATTTTCAATCTAACCTGTAAATTTTGGTAGTCAGCTCAATTTATAAGTTTTACACCTACAATTGATTCCAAATTTTTGCACACAAACATTCCACGGTCAAACCTTTCAAATAAAGACGTAGGCATGAAAGCAAACACCACACTAACATCGAGCAAGGGAAATACCGCCAACAAGCAATAATAGCAAATAAACCAACCATGACGGATAATGAGCATGCATCTTAGTCATTTCAGCATCAGCAAACTAAAACGCCAATTCCATGAGGAAAATACTTTTGAAAATTCTAGGAAATATGAATCTCATTATCAATTTTAGCTTATCCGGCATTTTAAGTAACATTTTAAATCAATCATTGAAACAATGCAAGAAGATGCCACAAACCATTATTAGTATACTATAGTCATTCTCAACTCCATCCATAATGAAATTCGTTCTTAATCCATAAAGATGCAAGCAGACGTAGAGTAAGAGAAATCCTATAATAACAGAAGAAACAAATATTCTATTAACTGCTTTCAGTAAACTCCACTTGCTTCTCTTTATAAACTCATAAGAAATGCGTAGTATCTTTGAGGAAATATCATCAAATAAAGTACAATCCAAATAACTGAACCGCAATTTTTCCATAAACTGAAGTATGGTTGGGTTTTATATTTTGAAAGGGAATTTGCATTTCTTTTAGCTCATGTCAAATTTCAGATGATAGGAAAAAAAATTAAGCTTATTATAAGAACTTGAGTCTGCATATAACCATTTATTTCATTAGGATCGAGCATACGATTATAATCTATAATTCCAAACAAAATTTCAAACTATGAATCGATTTAGAACTATAAGCAAATTTGGATTCAAAGCATATAACCCTTATGAACAAGTAACCAAATTTTACCTATGATATAAAATATTCCATATTAAAGCCACAGAAACGAATAAATATAGAAATATGATCGTCACTTGAAAGACTTAATAAAAAACCATAAATATAAAAGGTAGTCAACATCATTTAACATGTCCGAATCCTGAAGACACCTTCCCTAGCCTTCCCATGTGTCTCTACATCACGTTTAAATATGGAAAACAACTCTTGTATCTCAGGTTTTCTAGCATTGACCTGCTCTTCAGTGTCGGGCTTCTTCAGCCCAAAATGGAGCATGCTAAAATAAGTTAATAACATTCCAATAAAGAGGATATATACACAAAACGATGCAAATGCATAGGGAGAGTTCTTAGCTCTAGGGATTCCATCTAGATTCATCCCAAATATGCTAACTATTACGGAAACGACCAGCCCACAAATCCCTATGATCCCGCCATTATGAGTAATTCTCCGAGTTTTATCCTGATAGACAAAAATTCATATAACTATAAAGAATGTGGGCTACTAAAGCTATAGAAGCTAAAACCTGATTGTATGTTCATAAATACCTCCAAACATGCACGAACTGTGCTTTTAAGGACGTCTTGGATGGTGAAGAGTCGTCCACGAACTACTTCCTGCTCCTGTAGCATTTCATTTGTAGTATCTTGAATTTCTTCCAGTAAACTTTTAACGGCAGATCCCCTCAAAAGATGTCGAAGACAGACGACAATTTCTTTCCTTGCATGTAATGACCATTGAACTCTAAAAACCTGCCAAAACGAAACCTGCCAAAACGATATGGAAACGATATGGATAATTGAGATTTGGAGAGTTATTTGTAATATTTCAATAGTTTACTTAACAAATCCTTTTAATAGAGAATATTCAAATCTAACTTAACATCAAATGATTAGAGAAATTCTCAGACAAAATTCATAGAACTATAAAGAGCGAGTATTGAGATGTCCAAAATGGAAGTATAAAGAATGTAAAATTTATGAGTTAAATAATAATGAAGTGAGAGAATCGTGAAATACAATACAGAATAATATATATATATACATATATATATATATTGTAGAACTAATTTAAATAAATCAAGTAAAAGTCCTCATTATGCGCATGCTACATGTGTGACTCTATTGCCTGTGCTGCATCAGCTTCAATTGTGACCTTTACCTTGTGAATTGGCAACATTATCTATTTCATTGGAACTGAAATTTAAATGAACCAACAAGCAACAAAATCAATGAGGCATACTGCGTTCCTAGAAAATTTTCATGATCGCATTTATAAAGTCCATTAAGAATGTTTTGCCTCAACGTGTACGCACTAAAATGAAAATGCTTTGCACAACTCTGCTTAATAATTCTTCACTCCAAAAGTAATAATTGGACAAGCACACCCTCTACTCTATAAACAAACTCCATGTTCTGAGGCAATCTTGCCTCATCATACCCCAAAGCAAGCCCCGAGTAAAAGAACCTGTCAAAACATTAATGACTAAAAAGAAAGAAATGTACCTTTGTTGCCAACTTTTTGATGTCCTGATTAAAAATTACATTGATTAGATGTGGATCCTCATAAGTTTTCCTGCCCAACACATAAATGTGTGAGTGTGTGTGTGTGTCTATATCTATATATATATATATATATATAATATATATATATATATACACACACACACACACACACACACAGCATCACAATCAAATATAGACTATAATTTAATAAAAGGTAGCATTAAATATTTTTTTGAACGACATCAATATCATTAAAGTTGATGAATGTACCAGTTCAAAAGCCTAAACTCAATTTCATTAGCAGCACCAAAAATAAACTTGCGAAATAGCCTAAAAAATCAAACAAAAAGCACATCAGAAAATAATACAAATTCAGAAGAATTACAATAGTTGTAGAAGTTAAAATTAGCTATAAAACTACACGACTTTTCTATTAAAGAATGGATGGGTTAGATGCCCAAAAAGTTATGCAAAATAGCAGCCTCGATGAGAACAAATGTCACTCCCAGTGAATCCATTAAATCATAAGAAGCTGGTTATGGTAAACATCATATGCTATAATGCAGCTAAAGAAAATAAAAAGTAAAAGCTATTGTTCTTTATCATTACTATCAGCCTTATTCCAACTATTTGGCATGGGTTTATGAATTATTTTCTTCAATTATGTATGTGAATATTATATGTTGATTATCTTTAGTTTACACCAATCTATGTTAACAACTTCTAGAAAGATTCTTTTACCTTCTGATGTGTAACAAAGAGGTGGATTTTAAATATATAAAGGAATGTGGTTTCCAAGAATCACTCCAAATATATAAAGGAATGTGGATTTTAATGTGCTTCGTAAATACTTGGACCCTTCTGATCTTTTAACACATTGAATCATATTTGAACACTTGAATCTTGAGTTAAGTAATTATTAACTCCAATCATCTATCCCTCAAATTGATATATGCATTGTAATTCCATATAATTTGAGTTAGCACTTCAATTGGTTTAATATGTAGGCTTAGCATTACAATCTAAGATAGTCCTGTGGCTATGATAAGTTGGTTAATATTATAAGGTAATGGCTTATCTGACAAAGATATTCATTCAATCTATCCAAATCGCATATGAATGGTCAATAATACAAATAACCTAGAGAATTTCTACAAATAACCGAGAGAATTTCATCTTAAATTTATAAAATTAAATCTATTATTTATACCATTTGTAAGTTTACACTTTTAAAATATGAAAAGTTAAGTTTAGGTATTAAATATGGTATAAAGGTGAAAAGTTAAAGACAGCTATTAAAAAAAATGCCTCGGGTGCAAACTTTTCTTACAAAAAGAAACCTTGAGGGCAAACTTTTCTTACAAAAAAGTAACTTTGCGTGCACATTTTTCTTACAAAGAAAAAAAAAACCTTGTCGTACGCAAGAAAAGATTGGGTCTTAAATATGTGAATGTGCAAGAATATATATATATATATATATATATGCAGATCCTCCTTACAAAAAGAAATGCTTAGCCACATACATGAAAGTTTAGATATTAAAAATTATGAAATCAAGAGGTGCACTTTGAACTTTCCTTCTTTTGCTAGTAAAAGTGACAAATTTTTATTTACCTATCATCCCACCGAGAAAGGTGGTAAGCTAATCGTGCTATGACCTCATGCACAGATTTAGGAATCGCAATTCTACCAGTACTAAGTAGATCCTGCAAAAGATCATGCCATCAAAATTATGATCTAGACTATATATGAATTATTAGTTGTACAAAATTATGAATCGCACACAAATATGATAAATCGCTTGTATTTCCTATGTAATCACCTGCACTTCATTGATCCCTTTGACATTTATTTTTGACGAGGAACCTTTAAGATGCAACACAGTCAATAAAAATTGTTGAGTATGATAAGAACGAAGCACAATCGGTGTATCATCTACTTTGGAAGATGGATCACTAACTGAATACCCCAACAACTCAAATAACAGCCCTCCTTCCATTTCGACAGGAACCTGAAAAACCATTCATCTTTAGTGAAAAGAGAAATGAAAACATTCCATCTATATATAAGGTTATCAATTAAACAAAAATCAATTAAACAGAATTTAAAAAGGTTAAAATATTCAAATTGAACAAGGTTAATTCATATGTGAATTAAACAAATCTAATGTTATCTCTCAACATGTGAATTAAACACAATCTAAGATTATCTCTCAACATAAAAAAAAAAAATATTTGCACAACCCTAACTCTCAAATTGATAAAATGACAATATCACCAAAAAAATATTTATTTCACAGCTAAAATATCATGATTAACAATATTCACAATTCATTTTAAAATACAAAAAACTCACATTCGTTAAGTATACCAAGCCCTACAATTATAGGATCTAACAGTATTTTCAAGAAACAAGTCAATAAAATAGAAAATGTGGCACTAACATGAAAAAAGATAAAACATTAGAACTCACCTCAAAACCAAAGTGATCAATACAATCACTACAATGTTCGTTTACATCTCTCAAACAAATACTAACTGTTGGATGTAGCCATTGAGCATTACTGAGCCATTCATAAATATAGGAATGTGTTGCAAATACGTGACACCACCATATAGGTCGAGCAACAACACCAGAAACGGTAATATCATCTTCATCCTCGTTCAAATCAATTTGTTGCGAAGACCATTCAGCATAATTTTCGGCAATCTTCGTTAGTTCTGAAATCCTTGCCCATCCAATAGGAACCCAGTGGCAACGATTGGATCCTCGAACAAACTCAAAAGCGCATAAAAGTCCATCAATCCAAAGGTCATATACACGACCCACGCTGCCTGGATGAGACATTTGAAACTCTAGCCCGCTAGACTCAATGCAGTTACTTTTATTTGATGGAAATCAAAGAATTATATTTGAAGCTGAATGTGCAAGGTTCTGAATTGTTTAGAAGGAATTTAGTGTGAGGTCCTGCAATTGATAATATGTCAAAGTGTCCGTTCTAATTTATAATAGCAGTTACAAATCCTCGTAAAGGAGAAGAACAAAACAAATACATGTTGAGAATCAATAACAAATTCATCGAAATTGCAGTATAAAATATCTAATAGAAAAAATTTAAAAAAATTTAAAAAACCAGCTAATTAATGTAGATACCTAGGAAAGAAAATAATGGTCAAATGTTTAACCACAAAATACTCTAAACAGTTTTTTCAATTAAAATATAGCCTCTCATAAACAGCTAATTAAGATTGATTGCTCGTAAATCTTTTCCAATTTTTAACAATAGCCAAGAAAGTATTTCAATATACATGCTCTTTACGGGACAACTTCCTTTTCATAGCCATAATTAAAGCTGAACATATATTCTAATCATTTCAAAAGAAAACAGGGTAAAGCACTAATAAACCCATCGACTTATGATCAAGAGCCTCCTAATTATTCAAATAAAGACATAGCCATGAAAGCAAACACCACACTAGAGCATAACATCAAGTAAGGGAAACACGCCAACAAGCAATAATAACAAATAAACCAGCCATGACGGATAAAGCACACGCATCTTACTCATTTCAGCATCAGGAATCTAAAACCCCAATTCCATGAGGAAAATACTTTTGAAAATTCTCGAATGAATCCATGATAAATTTTAGCTTATCCGGCATTTTAGGTAACATTCTAAATCAATCATTGAAACAATACAAGAAGATGCCAAAAACCATTAGTAGTATACTATAGTCATTCTCAACTCCATCCATAATGAAATTCCTTCTTAATTCATAAAGATGCAAGCAGACATAGAATAAGAGAAATCCTATACTAACAGAAGAAACAAATATTCTATTAAGTGCTTTCAGTAAACTCCACTTACTTCTCTTTATTAACTCATAAGAAATGCATAGTATCTTTGAGGAAATATCATCAAATAAAGTACAATCCAAATAACTGAACCAAAATTTTTCCATAAACTAAAGCATGGTTGGGTTTTATATTTTGAAAGGGAATTTGCATTTCATTTAGCTCAGATCAAATTTCAGATGATAGGAAAAAAAATTAAGCTTAATATAAGAACTTGAGCCAGTAATAACCATTTATTTCATTAGGATCGAGCATACGATTATAATCTATAATTCCAAACAGTATTTCAAACTACGAATCGATTTAGAACTATAAACAAATTTGGATTCAAAAAACATAACCCTTATGAACAAGTAACAAAATTTTATATATGATATAAAATATTTCATATTCGATCCACAGAAACGAATGAATATAGAAATATGATTCTCACTTGAAAAGCTTGATGAAAAGCCCTAAAATAAACTCAAGGAAAGAGAAAGAAGAAGAATAAGAAATATGAAAATCTGACCTCCAGAGAAGCTCAAAAATAACAGCAATAACTCTGAAATTCCTCAAAGAAATCACCAACCCGGGATAACCTCGAAAATAACAGCAAGAACTCTGAAATTCCTCAAAGAAATCACCAACCCCGGATCTATCGTCAAATGGGATATATATAGTTGAAAAAGAGGGGGGAAAGGAAATCGGCATTCAAAAAAAAAGGCGGGAAAATCAGTTACGGGAGTGGCCGACAATCACATTTGGTCGCATTATGATGTTTTTAATTTAATGCAACCAAATGATGCTTTTAATTTCTGCAAAACAGGGAACAAAACATGCCTAAAATGATGTGTTTAATTTCTGCAAAACAGGGCACAAAACAGCCTTAAAATGATGCTTTTAGTGTCTCCAAAATAATGCTCAAAATAGCCCTAAAAACAATGTTTTAAGTGTCTCAAAAATAGTGCTCAAAACAGCCCATATATAGACAATATAACCATTGTATGGTTCCACATAAGTAAATATACTAATAATACATCATATAGTTGTTAAATCATTTCTGCAATGCCACAAATTAGCTTTCATGTCAATATATGCATCATTTCTTACGAGTGAACATGTCTTCTCAAATAAATATCCCAAATAAATATCATCTATTCACTAACAACTTGTTAGTAACAAGTTTCTATATTACCAATAATGAAGTACCATAACACATATGATTATAACTATCATTATTCTAAAAAACAACGCAAGTTTGACTGTAAGATATTTGAAGTGTGAAAGAAAGATATGACAATAGAACTCTAAACATTTTGCTTTGCTTCTTATACTCCAAAAAAATCAAAACATAACTCTTACTCAAAGGCACCCTCAAATCCATCTAATTGCATTAATTGATTAGAGTGGAAAATCTCCCTTAAAGCCGGAGGTGATGCAAACAAGTGAGATATATTTAAAAAAAAGAACAATAAGGACAAGCGAGGATGTCTCCTCCCATTAAGATAACTCTTATCCATCCATTATCTGGGTTTTGTATTATTCACAAGATTTGATTTGCGGCAGATTCATTATCCAAGATTTCATATTCCATAAGAAAAGCATAAATTAGTGTGTCGCTACAGGAAGTCATCTTAGCCAACTAATACATAATAGTATATTCTCGGTTCATGCACATAACTGTATTATTCAACTAGCTTCCAACTAAGCATTGGATCTTATCCAAACTATGCCTTTATGAAAAAAGATACATATGTTTTATACAAAAAAAAAATAATAATACAAAAATTAACTCATAAAAGCCCTACATGGCCTCATACAGAAATTTCATAAACATCAAACATAGTTTTCACTCAAAAAATTTAAATAAACCTAAAAAAATTTGTCAAAATCTAAGCTAAGAGGAAAACCTGAAGATAATATGAAATCTTACAGAAAATATGCTGAAAGAAGACGACTCGGTAGCCTTGCAAGCAACAAAGCAAGAATATCGAGCAACCATGCACCGAAGCAAGAATACTGAGAGTGGTCGATCCAACGCCGACTCGCCGAGGACAAATACACTTTATGGAAGACAGATAGAAGTAGAGATTAGAGAACGAACACAACCAATCGACCCTAAGCTCCCACCGAGTCGCGATTTTGAGAAGAGAAGAAGGATGGTTATCGCAGTCACCGAGAGGAAGCTTCTCAAGGTTTTGAGAGGAGGAGCCGAAACTAAGAGAGAAAGAGGGAAGTAGCAGCCGAAACTAAGAGAGAGAGAGCGAAGTAGCAGCCGAAACTAACAGGAGAAAGAGGCGTAGTTTAGAGAGGAGAAAAGAGCGGCGTGGGAAAGAAGGGCAAACGGTCACGGGTTAGGGCTTAGGGCTTCCGCCTTACTACCTTAGTTAATAAAAGGGTTTAGATAAAAGGATTGTTTTGTATATTAATATATAAAAAGAATAATATAATATATTATATTAATTATATATCTTATATTATATAAATATATAATATCTATATTATTAGATAGTATATAAATATAATATTATTAATAATTTATTGTACATGATAATTTACATGATTTATGTTTTAAAATATAACAAATTTTTTTAGTATGTAATTAGTTTTAAAATATCATAATTTTATATATATTTATTTATTTTATTTTTTTTATTTCGAACAATTACGATTTGAACATGAACGAACACATCATTATTCGTGTTTGGTTCGTTTAACAAATCAAATAAAAAAATTTATTTGTGTTCAACTCGTTTGTTTATCGAACGAATCGAACACGGACACGAACACTCTAGCGAATCAAACACGAACTGTTTGCGAACAACGAGCTTTTTTGACAGCCCTAGTCGCGTAGGTTGGTTAAGACTATCGGGGAGAAGAACCTTCGCGAATCGGGAGAGGAGAGGGAGTTCGGTCGGATTGCGAACAGAAGAAAGCGAAAATTATTTTTTTGCGAAGAGGGTTTTCGGCCCCCTATGGTTTCGAATGGGAGGGGGGCCTAAACACCTTAATATTTTATATATTTTTATAATTGATTTATTCATTTTTTATTAATTAGTATTAATATTTCATTTTTAAATTGTCGATTTTGACGAGATTTGACCTCGCACGAAACCTCATCAAAATAAAAGTCCTTTCAAGGTAATTTCATTCGTCGGCGCGGTCCATTTCGTCATACGGGATCGTCCGGACAAATCCGTCGACAATCACATTAAATTATCTTCAACTTGTGTGTGTCGCGACGAATGAAATTATTTTGGTCCGATCGGAGTTGTTTAACAAATATCGTTGACGGGTCCTCGCATAAGTGACGACCAAAGTTTAATCAACCGTTCACGGTGGCAAGCCAAAAAACATAACACGTCTTGGGGTTCACCTATGTCTTTCAAATTTCTATAGAAGCTCAATTTGAATTTCAATATGTCTGCTCTTCGATCGACTCAATCGAATATTGAGGATTTAAAACCGTCCATGTGAAAACTTCAAAGAGCGAAGAAATAGCTCAAATTTCTAAGTGGTGTGGGTCCCAATCTAGCCTCTAAAAGAGTCAAATAAGAAATCCCAGGGATAGATTTTAGGCTCTAGGAGAGGGAAGAAAGACCTCAAAATTGAGGTCAACAATTTCTCGAACATAATTCGAATCTTCCTTGTAAAAGTCTTCAAATTGATCTAATTTCTCTTATGGCTCGTGTTCCAACTCTTTCATTTCAGATTTCTCTTCATAAGTTGTTTTGAAATGACATTCAGTTAAATCTCTTTTCACATCCATTTTATAACATTTATCAACCTTACCTTTTGCAGAGTATTTCATTGATTTGGAAATATTAAACATAATTGTCTGATCATTGATGCACATAATTAATTTCCCTTTTTGCACATATATCAATGTTCTTCATGTAGATAAGAAAAGTCTCTCCAAAATGATAGACATCTCATTATCTTCCTTCATATCTAGCACAATGAAATCAACAGGAAAAATAAATTGATTCACTTTCACTAATACATCTTATATAACTCCTTTAAGATATGTTATCGAACAGTCTGTTAACTGCAGAGTTACAGTAGTAAGGAATATTTCTCCTAATCTCAATATTTAAAATAATGATAATGGCACAAGGTTAATGCTTGCACCTAAACCACATAAAACTTTCCCATAAAATATGTCTCTTATTGTACATGGAATTATGAAGCTACCAGGATCTTTAAGTTTTTCAGGAAGTTTTTTCTGAATTATAACATTGCACTCCTCACTAAGTGCAACAATCTCATTATCTTCAAACTTCCTTTTTATGTTAAGAATATCCTTCATAAACTTCACATATCTTGACATTTGTTCTAAGGTTTTAGCAAATGAAATATTAATTGTAAGCTGCTTAAAAATTTCAATAAATTTTGAAAATTATTTATCCAACTTTTTATTGACCTCACTTTTGGTTGAGGTCTATTTCTTTCTCCTTAGTAGACTAGGGTCTAGCCATAGGACTTTCTTGTTGATTACTCCTAGATAACTAGTATGGAACCCTTACCAATAAAAATTCCAGACTCTTCTTTCCTCAACTTGAAGTTCCATAGACTGGTCCTAACCTTTAGCACTTAGTAGGTCAGGCCACTATAGGGGAGCTCAAGGAGAGTCCCCTTAGGATTGCTTGGCCTTGGTTTGGAGCTAGTTCTCTTTCACTTTCACCCACTTTCACTCACAACCTTAATCCTAACTTTGTTCAAATTTTGCCCCTTGACCTTTTGGGAGACTCCTAGGCCCCTAGCCCTGGGCTAGGGCTTACCTAAGACCAATACATGTAGGACCCAAAATAGGAATTCTATTGATCCATAGCTCAAATAGAGTAGTTGACACCCTAATTTCACTTAAAGACCCAACCTAACCTTTTGACTCCCAAATCTACCCAATTTACCAAAATACTCTTAAAACCCTAAAATCCACAAAAATTCCTAAAATATCCAAAATTGTTCAAAAGCCATCTCAAACCCCTTAAAACCACCTAAGTTGCCTAAAACAACCCAAATTTTCCAAAATTACCAAAATACCCCTCATAGCCAAAAAATTCCAAAAGTTCCAAAATTCTTCAAAATGTCTCCAAAACCAATTTCGACCCCTCCACTCATCCGAATTTGACCCAATTTGACTAATTTAATCATTTTGAAAAAATTCCCAAATTGCTCCTAAAGGCCCAATTCCACAAAATTCACCCTAAATGTCCACTCCAATTTTCCTCAATTTCAATTCTAAACTTCAATTCACCATTATTAAGGTAATTTTAAACCAAATCCATCCTCAATTGACCCATACTTTAAGCTCAATTTTAATCCAAACCAAAAGCCCCAATTTTAGCCACATGACCTAATCTCACCTAATTGAACCCTATGAGCCACTCAATTACCCCAATTTGGATCCCAATCTCTTCATTACAATCCTACACAGCAAATTAAACCCTCGATTGGCCTTAGTCAAACCTCAATTCCACTCAATTCCAACCCCAATTCAAAATCCCCAAATTTGCCCCAATTTAGCCACATAGCCAAATTCCACCAAATTGAATGCCCTAACCTCAAAATAGACACCTAATTTATGTTGAAAACTGTTTATGACATTTCCATAGATCATTTTGAACTATCAATGTGGACTTAGCCCAACCTTAGCTTAACCTAAACCCAAGTCCAACCCAATACCCTCAAATTGACTAAATGACTAAAATCCATCAAATTGAACTTCCAAATCAACTCAAAACCTCCCTAATTCTTTTAAAAAATCTCATTGACAATCATTTACACCAAATTGATCAATCAATTAAGCTCAATAGCATGACTAGCCCAACCCAAACCCAAATTCAATCCACTTGACCCAAATGCACCCCTTCACCAAAGTTGACCTAACCAAGCCAAATTAGCCAACCAAGGATCCCCACAGCCATCAAGTGCACCCCATAGACCAGGCTAAACCCACATAAACCAGCCTAAGTGAGCTGGGGACTAATGGCCCCCTAAATTAAGGTATTTCATCCAATTTTTGGGCGAAAACCCATATATCTTTATCATCATGCCATACCATTAAGAGTTAATCATCATAAACCCACCCTCACATGACTTCCCTGACCTCTCTGGCCACCACCCCTGGCGCTGCCGGCCGACCTAGTGGTCGAAAAACTCCAAAATCGAGAGCCACCACACTTAAATTAAATCTAACTGAAATCATCCAAGCTGCCCAACTCTGATTGGCCTTTCGCACTTTGAAGCCCTCCACATAAACTGTTAATTGCGCCTAAGTTGAAGCCCTGAGTTCAATCCTAAGCCCTTCTATTTAAATCATCTTCCCCATGGCTAAAGGAGAGCAATTGATTTTTTTTGGGGAAACTCTGTCAAATTGATTCCAGAGACTCTTCATGAACTCCTTAGCTCAAGCCCACGATTTTCCTCTTCTGGTTCCCACTGTGAGAGCTCAAATTTGAGTTCAAAATCCCAGCTCAAAACAGAACATCCCTCCACAATCCACAAAACTCTAATTAATTGTTCCCACACCATCACCAGAGCAAGAGGAGTTAATTCCTCATAAAAGCCCCCACTTAAACAGCCTCTAGCATAGCTCTAGACCAACAACTGAAATCGAGCTTGATTGAAATCAAACCTAAACATTTCACTAAGGCCCAAGAGTTCATTTGGAGGTTCGTTGGACCTAATCGAAGCTGCCACAATCATCTGATTGAGGTATCCCCTCTCAGTCAAAGGTTCCCTTAGCTGGTCCATCGGCTTCGCCATTCCCACAACCATAATGCTCCTCTCCCTCATCCTCTTCTTCCCCGACACCACCTATACATCCACGTCGACCCCGACGGTAGCGTCTTTTCCGCAATCCTTCAAGCCTTCGTCGCCACCTTCTGAAACGGTTGCCTACCCCTCCCCTCCCCGCCACCGCCGTATTACACAACCCCATCTCACAAAACCACCACGCGCATCACCTCTTTCCTGCCCACCCCTCCTTCCTCTTGCTCTCCAAAGCCG